ATGTTACATCATTGCCTTTTCTCTTTTACTTTCCTTTTTAGTTTTATTTTAGGATTCCCTATTTTTAAAGTTCATACAGAGATTTCTTTAACTGAAATACCAAATAGTTTATTTGGTGTGAAAAACTATAATAGTACACAGGATCCTAATGAGATAATTAATAATATGAAATAGGAAGTAAAGGGCTAAAGGTGTAGGGAAAGTGGGAAGGGTGGGGGAAAGGTAATAAGGGAGAGGAAAAAAATACGTGAAACTGAAAAAATGGAAATAAAGTGTTTGTAAATGGGGAGGGGAGGAGGGGTTGAAGGGAGGGCAGGCACAAGGGGAAAAATGAGAATCAAGACCTAGTCTGTAAAGGTGCAGAATCCCAATGATGAATGTAATTGTATTGTATACCTAGATTGTACCAATAAACTCAATAAAAAGAAAAAAAATTAAAAAAAAAACATCTGATATATGAAGTTACAATTTATACAAAAGCATTAAAAGACCACTGATCTATAAATACAGCTAACAAGTTAGTAGATCATTATTTCTATAGTATCGAGTATTTGGAGGTTTTCAAACTTCACAAGGACTTCTTTAAGGTTTCACATTATCTTAAATATTTTCATATTTCTCTGTAGATATTCTCCCTCTTGCTAAATTAATACTTCATATTTGGACAACATATAAACAAACACAGGTTCTTGCTAAAAAGAAGTTATCATGCTAAACTGTACTATTCTTGGTTTTTATTTTGAATTAAATTCTACAACAGTATCAGTTAACACTAAACCAAATGAGTACTTGGAAAATCTATCCCTACTGTTCTTTTCTTAATCTTTAAACAATGACTTAATCTTCATTTTCCGGTACAAAAGCAAACCAGAGTCTGAAGAAAAAAAATGTAATACACTATGAAGAGCACTTTAATTAAATGTCCCATCTATTTAATTCATTAATTCTTAAAGTATGGCTGAGGCTAGGGGTGTAGCTCCATGGCTCACCTGCCTAGCACGTAGAAGGCCCTGCACTGCAAAAATAAAATAAAATAAAGTATGACTGTGCCAGGTCTATAAGTCAACAGACAACTTGATATGAAAAAAAACATACCAGAGCCCCTTCGAGACAAGTAGCATAATGATAGCCTCTTCCCATTATCAGGACTGACTTCTGATGATAAAGTTCTGTTGCCAATTTTTGAATTTCATCATCCATGCTTAGTACCTCTTTAATCAAATCTGATAAGAAATCAATATTAGCAAAATCTATAAAAATTGGATAAGACTTAAACAGATATAAGAACAATAATATATTGCTAGCAATCAATAAAAGACCAGTGTTTCAATTCTTCTGTAGTATCACAAAAAAAATTTAATATATGGCAGTAAAAGTAAAAAAAGATCTAACCCTAAGTAGCTTCAAGAGTAAGAAGAAAGTTACCCACTCCCTTAGAAAACAAAAGGACATGTAAATATTCTCATACCAGGTAGCCGTTTCAATCCAAGCATGATCTCTTTGCGTCTCTCTTGCATAGAGATCCTGTCATCACACATCATAAGGGCAAACATCACAAGGGACACAAATTGGCTGGTGTAGGCCTGAAATACCACAGACAAGAGAATGAGCTGCAGGTGTATCTTAAAAATTTTAACTTTTAAAAAAGATGAAGCCTAGGGGTATAGCTCAGCAGTGTAACACCTGCCTGGCAAACACAAGGCCCTGAGTTTGATTCTAAGTACCAAAGAACCAGGTTAAAACATAACTGGAGAGAGGACCTTAAGTACAAGGCTGGGGACTGAAAGGAGGAAGAAAAGGAGACAAGAGCAGAAAAAGAAAATTCCCCACTCTAGATAGCAGCTTTGGCCCACACCTGTGAGTTCCAGTTTGCCTATGGTCCTTCCTTCCTGCCTGCCCTACAAATTTTGGATTTGCTCAGAAAGTTATGTTGCCCAGGCTGGTCTTGAAGTCATCACCTAAAATGATCCTCTTGAGTAGTTCAGAAGAACAGGTAAATTAAGGTTTTTTTCTTCACGTCTGTTGACCATTTATATTCTTTTCAGAATTTTGTTGTTCTTAAGCTGTTTTTCAACCTGGGTTTTTGTCTTCTGGGTTTTGTTTAAGAAAACCTCTAATATTATGTTTCAAATTCTTTTCCTCAGTTCGATTAATATATTGTCTTATTTTTTAATTTTTATGTAGTACTTAGAAGCTTAAATATTTTTAAATTCTTAGTTGTGTTCTTTTCATTGTTCCATTTTATCTTTTATGTTTCCTTCAGTCTATCTAAAATTACATTTAGTGAAGGTGTTACTGTTCTTATTTTATAAGCAGCCAATTTGCTCTCCATTTTCTATTGGTCTGTGTGGCATTTTCTATAGCCTGAGTTGCTTGATGTACTAAAGTTCTATTGAAGGACTACTGATTTTGTCCCAAAGATCTACAGTTTCTTTCAAGAAAAAAATCAATCTTCCCATCCAGAAATACAGCATTTTCATCAATCTGTGCTAGGAATTTAAGTCTATAAAGCAATATAGTTTTTATCCAAAAATATTTATGGAGCATCTATGTATTTCTTGGTAAAGTTATTTTGACTTAGCTTTTATAGCTAATGATAATAGAATTTCCATGGGTCTCACTAAGTAGTTCAGGCTGACCTTGAACTTACTACATAACCAGGCTGCTCTTGAACTCTGAGCAATCCTCCTACCTCAGCCTCCCCAGGTGCTGGAATTACAGGTGTGTACCACCTGGCTTCTCATTTATTCTAAGGAGTCTTCTAGTTGATATTCTTAAGCTTTACAAGTAGTCAATCATAACTGCAAAGAAGGAGAATTTTGCTTCATCTTTTTCCATTTTTTACTATGTTTTCTTATTTAACTAGATAGAACTTCTAGAACAGCGATATCAAATAGGTTTCACACAGAGCCAATGCTAACCTTTTGTTACAGTGAAACATCACACTGACAAAGAGTCTAGGACACATTTTTACTTCTGTAACAGAGTGCTTCTATGGGTAAAATCAAGGGAAGATTCCAGAAGAGCAGATGAGGCTTGCTAAAATGAAGGTCCTTAGCTTTCTGCTTTGCAATTCATTCACTCATTTTTTTCCTGTCACTTACTAGGTTTTCTTTTTCTAAATTTTCTGAGCTCAATAATTCATTTTCTCTTTAAAAATTTTTTTTGTTTTTTGGTTTTTTGAGACAGGGTCTTGCTATGTAGTTCAGGCTGGCTTTGAACTCACTATCTAGTCCAGGTTAACCTTGAATTCACAGCAATCCTCCTGCCTCAGCCTCCTGAGTGCTGGGAATACAGGAGGTGTGTGCCACCACACCCAGCCTAAAAATTAATATTTAATGCTATAAATTTACCTTTAATTAAGCATTTGGCCACATTTTTACCCTTATTGTTCATTGCCTGTTTTTTCTAATGTGTCTTTCTTAATGGTAGTTGTGATATCTTTTTAAGCCAATAATTGTTTAGAGGAACATTTTTATGTTTCAGGCATTTGAAGATTTTATTTACATTTTTATTATTAAAGCATTAAGATTACTACTGTGCTCGGGCCGGGGATTTAGCTCAGTGGTAATGCTGCCTGCCTCACATGTGCAAAGACCTGAGTTTGATCCCCAGTACCAAAAATAAATAAATAAATAAAAGATCACTGTGCTATGCTAGGTTACAGTATCAATGAATAGAAAGCAAAATTATGCGTAATTTTAACTTCAAGATATACTGGTCTTTATACATTGACTTTCTATCATTCTTCATGGATCATTTCATTAGCGAATAATTTCCGATCATAATATATATAAGACTCCTTCAAAATAGAATGATAGTCTATAATATTCCTTATCTTCCCAAAACTTAAATGACCCTCCCTATTTTTCTTTGCGGGACTTCTCAACTTCCAGTTGCTTTTCCACAACTACAGAGTCTGCCAAAAAAATGTATATACACCTCAGGGGGAAAAAAATAGTATGTTTTTTCAATAGATGGTGATACCTTCACTCATATGGGGGACCCCAGAGGATATCCTATATTGCAGAAAATCCACTACGCTGAAGATCCTTACAAAAAAAAAATTGAAAATACATATGTAGCAATCTCAATGACCAAGGTTAACCAAGCAGCAGTTCACCATACTAATAAATGTCTGGAAGCTAGTGTCCACCACTGTGAGCATCTCTTATAATTGTAGAGGTCAAAGGTAACATATTAATCTCATAATGTCTCAAGAAATTTAGTATTAAAATATTTACACAAGTTTTTTTTCCTGATATATACACTTTTTTGGTGGACTGTGTATTTGTTCCTGTACTCTTATGTTTGACTAGAAGGTTAGAATTATTTTTTCCACAGCACTGAAGGAGATTTGAAGTCTCTTGTCTCCAAGTCTAAGAACATCTATATTCTAAATTCTAGTGCCCTTAGGCAAAATCTTTTTTCTGTACCTTACTTTTCAATAAATCAGTTAAGCACAAAAATATATTATAAGGACAGAGATACACAAAATGATCAAGTCATAATCTAGTTATTCCAATCCATCACTAAAACTATTATTCTACAAATTAGTGTTTCTTTGAACTGAAAACATTTCAACAACAGTTTTTTTGTTTTTTTGGTACTGGGGATTGAACTCAGGTTTCACAGGCAGGCAGGGGCACCACTGAGCTTAATCTCTGGCCCAACATATCCCAATTTCTAAGAGCAAAGTAGCTTTACTGAGCCTTAAAAACAAAGTCCTTTAAACAACCACAGATGTAATTTCCAAAGAGAAACAGACACTGTTATACAATACTCATCTTTAAAAAAAATTTTTTTAATGTTTGTTTTTTTAACTGCCATATTTTACAGCAAAGAATATTCCTTCATACAAACTTTCAAAAATGGTATGTGCATTTTAGGACATTTATAAGAAGCTAGAAATATATAAATAAAAATGTCAGAAAATTACTTGAATTAACTAGATCACTTCTAATCTATTGTTTTTTTCTAAATCCCAACTACCTGGATAAAAGAAGGAGATATTATATATTTATATATTCATTGTTCCTGGCCATTTCTCCCTTTTAAGCACTGAGATCAGGAGAAGGAAGGAGATGATAATATTGTGCCTATTATTTATTTATCCTTTAATATTTAAAATAATAAAATATGAGTTATATAACTGCTCACAAAAACAACAACAAAAAAAAAATACCAAGATGTATACTGGTCTAGAGACCAGTCTGTTTCACCAACACTATGATTAATCATTAGACACAGAAGTAAAAATTTACCTTGGTACTGGCCACACCAATCTCAGGACCAGCATTAATGTGAACTCCACAATCTGTCTCCCTTGATATAGAACTGCCAACTGTATTTGTGATCCCTACAGTTAAAGCTCCTCTCTCCTTACAGTAACGAAGACCCATCAGGGTATCTGCTGTTTCGCCTGTGTAAAAGGTACCAAAAAAGTAATACATAGAGTGAGTTTAGCATTTGCTGTTTTTAGATGCAAAAATAAATTGACAACACTTTTAATTACATCATTTGTATCACATAAAGCATAAAACATGCACTTAATGAATTTATAAAACTTTTAATAAGAGGTTTTCTTGGATCATTTTTCTGCTTTTGAAAACCCAATTCTCTGAACATAAAAGGTCTTCACTTTTTACTAATTCTTACGGAGTTTAGCATTAAAGTAAATCTGTATTTATCATCTGTAATACCAATTTCTTTAAATACTAGTTTTTGCCAAGATACACTAGAATTATTAGAAAAAATTACTTTCTTTTCCTACATGATTTTAACATAAACACACCTGATTGACTAATAAAAAAGCAAACATCATCTCGAAAGACTGGCGTGTTTCTATCCAGGAAGTCACTGGCTAGTTCCACCATCACTGGCAACTCAGTAAGCTCCTCAAGAACCTGGCGTGTCTGCAGAGAAAAGGTGATATCATCATATAACTTGCCTTCAGATACTCTTTCCAATGGACTTCTTGGAACTCAATGGATAACTACCACTCTTTCTGATCATAAAAATTATATATACATAGGGCCGGGGATTTAGCTCAGTGGTTCGGTGGCCTGCCTTGCAAGCACAAGGACCCGAGTTCAATCCCCAGTAAAAAAAAAAAAAAAAATTACATATACATAAAGTTAGAAAATATAAATAACACATTAAAAACAAATCAAAATCCCACTATCCAATGATAACAGTATTTACTGTTAACATTTTTAGAACAAGTCTCATGAGACCAGGAATGCACATATTCTTACAAGCAAATAAACTCACATGTATTATTGTGAGAAAGAAAGAAAGCACTACTCCTGCTAGAATTCACACGTCACACTGGGCATCTGTCTGAGGCAAGTGAGCAATGCTAAGCAAATCCTGATGCCTCTTCTTGTACAAGCAGGCATGGTCCCTAGTCTAGAATGGTGCAGCACTCCTCCCCTCTTAGACTCTCATTAAGTCAGCTGCAAGTGATCTATCTGTGCATATAAAGAGCTGTGTACAGTAGATCTTCTACAAACAAATAATTCAAGCAGCCATAAACCTCTAAACCCCTTCCTGATTTCTAGCATACTAAACATGAAAAGACAGTTTTACATGATGTGTTACTAGAGGTACTACTGGTCTTGCAGGTATCTTCCAATATCCAACATACCATAATTAAAAATTTATAGGCCACTTACTGCCATACCAGCATGGTAACTTGTTCCACAAGCAATAAGAATCAAACGCCGACACCTTTGGATCTCCTTAATGTGATCCTTCAAACCACCCAAATTCACTGAAATAAAAATCAGTGTGTATAATTATTTAGTAAAGAATCATACGAAGTAAGCAATCGCTTTTTATGACTGTCCACTGCCAACATAAGAAATAATATTGCCATTTTTAAAGAATTCATATTCCTTTTAGGAAACATAGTTCTCCATAGTTATAAAAAGTAAATTAATTGGTCCTAAGTTAATTGCTCCCACAAAATTAATTAATCTTAGTCGCCCCCACAAGCACACATAATTACAGTATTTATTGTGTTCTACTTTATTTCAGTCATTTTTACATGTTTCTTTCAATTAAAAGTTATCTTAAAAGCAAAACTATATGGATGTGGTTAATCAGTAGATGCTGAAGGCTGTAGTTTGGGAGGGACAGATAGACAACAAAAGAGAACAAGGAAATTATTCTACATCGGAGCTTCATAAAGATCAAGATTATGACGATGTTGTAGAGGTTTGCCAAAACAGAATTTTGGCTTGTGATCAATGGAACAGAATAGAGGATGCAGAAACAACTCCAGGCAAACTCAGCTACCTTATTTTTGACAAACGGGCCTTATCTTTGACAATCTCTTTAACAAATAGTACTGGGAAAACTGGCAATTTGCATGCCAAAGATTGACCCTCGACCCCTATCTCTCACCATGCACTAAGCTAAAATAAAATGACCAAAGAGCTAAATATAAAAACAAACACTAAAATTAAAAAAGAAAAAAAAAACCTCAGAAACATTTAATCTGATAGAAAACAAAATAGGTAAAACTCTTGAAGACACACAGATATAGGCAAAGACTTTCTGAACAGAACCCTGGCTGTACAAGAAATAATACAAAAAATCAAATGAGATCACATCAAATTAAAAGCCTTCTGCACTGCAAAGGAAACAACAGATTGAAGAGACAACATATAGAATGGGGAAAAAATTTGCCAGAAATTTCTGAGGACTAATATCTAGAATATACGAAGAACTCAAAAAAAAAAAATTAGATTCCCTCCAACTTAAAGAGCCCATCAAAAAAATGGGCATCTGAAATGAATAAGCACTTCTCAGATGAGGAAGTACAAATGACCAATAAACACATGAAAAAATGTTCAACACCACTGACCATTTGATAAATGCAAATTAACACTAAGATTCCATCTCATGAATTAAAAGAATCATACCACAGTGATAAATGTGCACCCATGTTCATAGCAGCACAATTCGTGAGAGCTGAAACTTGGAAGCAGCCCAACTGCCCATCAACAGGAGACTGGATAAAGAAAATGTGGGTTTTTTATAAAATGGAGTACTGGGCCAGGGATTTAGCTCAGTGCCACCTGCCTCACAAGCACAAGGACCTGAGTTTGATTGCCAGTACCAAAATAAAATAAAATAAAATAAAATAAAATAAAATAAAATAAAATAAAATGGATGCTATTCAGCCATAAAGAATGAGAAACTAGAGACATTTATAGCTAAATGGATGCACATTGAGGCGATACTCTTAAGTGAAATAAACGGGACAGATATGTGTAAATACCAAATAGTTTCTCTAGTGTGAGAAACCGAAAGCATATAAATAAGGACTAATAGCTATTAACAGATAATGCGAAACAGGAAGAAAAGATGCAAAGGGGAAGGGGAAGTGGCAGGGGAAAGGAAAAGAAGAGAATGGAATTAATATGAGAAAAAGAAAAAATGGAAACAAAATCTTTGTAGATAGGGAGGGATGGAGGGTTTGAAGGGAGGGCAGGGGAATGGGGAAAAATAAGAACCAAGACAGATTACGTAAAGGTGCAAATTTCCAATGATGAATGTCATTATACTGTATACCTTAAATGTACCAATAAGATTAATTTTTTTAAAAAAAGAAAAGAAATCAACCAGTAACAAATGCTGTATAGATTGTGTGAAAAAAGGAACATGGTTAATGGGAATGTAAACTGGTACAACTATGGAAATCAGTATGGAGATTCCTCACTTAATTAAAGCTTGAAATTGCATTTGACTCAGCTATTCCTCTTCTAGGTATATTCCCAAGAGTTAAAAACATTATACCACAGTGATGTATACACACTCTTTATAGCAGCACAATTCATAATAGCTAAGTTTTAGAAGCAGCCTATACGTCCATCAAAGATGAATGGATAAAGAAAATGTGGTATTTATACACGATGGATTAATTCTCCGTTATAAAGAAGAATAAATCTGAGTCATGTGTAGGGAAATGAATGTATCTTGAGACCATAATGCTAAGGAAATAAATGAGACACATAAATTTAAATATCACATGATTTTTCTTATATGAGAAAATATATAAAGTACAAAATAAAAGACATACAAGAGGGGGGAAAAAAGAGAAAAAAGTTATTGTAATCCAGCATGGATGATGTATATGAAGGTATAACCTCATTCAGTATAATTATCTTATGTGTTTTATGAATTTTTTGGCCCATTATTCTGGCTGTTAATCTGTATGTATAATTAATTTTTAAAGAATTTATAAAATAAGTAAATGAATCTTGATGCTAGCAAAAATAAAAATTTAAGGGGGGATGGAGGGAAAGGGGAAAAAAGAATGGAGATGTGTTATGTACATGTACCAATTCCCCACAATGAATGTGATTATTATGTACTGAAAACATTTACTAATAAAAATTAAAAATTTTTTAAAACTCAGAATTTTACCCAGAGGCTGAGGCAAGTAGATGACTTGAGCCAGTTCAAGGACAGCCTGAGCAACATAGCAAGATCTCATACTAAAAAAAAAACAAAACTCAGAATTTTATCCTAAGAATGTAAATTTTATTATATGTAATTAATAAACCTGTCTGGAAAAAAACTACTTTAGTGTTATGTTTCTTCCCCCTTCACACTGGGTGTGCATAACAGTGTTCTGCATGCAATATAAAGCCACTCTCCTTTCAGCCTGTGCCATCAAGAGACACCTAGCTGCTCCAGTTCAAAAGTCAGCAACATCTTTCATTGCTCTTAGACCTCCTCATCTACTTTTTTTTTAAAAAAACTAAATACATTTTAATAGAAAACAAAATACAAAATATTTTCGGAAAACTGAAATCTTTAGTGTTTTCCCCATACATTAGAACTTGCTTTATCCTTAGGGCACAGTTTGACATGTGCATGCACATTCAGTACTCACCTCACGATGTACTCACTGCAGAAGACAGAGCAAAAATGCTAACCTATTTATCTTGTGACTTATTCCAAATTATC